GTGCTGTGGTATCACAGCTCACAGCAACCTCCAACTCCTGGGCTTAAGCCATTCTCTTGCCTCAGCCTCCCAAGTAGCTGGGACTACAGGTGCCCGCCACAACACTGAAACCAACAACAAAAAATAGCCGGGCATTGTGGCAGGTGCCTGTAGTCCCAGCTATTTGGTAGGCTAAGGCAAGAGAATCGCTTAAGTCCAAGAGTTTGAGGTTGCTGTGAGCTGTCATCGTTTGGCAGGCCTGGGCCGGATTCGAACCTGCCAGCCCTGGTGTATGTGGCTGGTGCCTTAGCCTCTTGAGCTACAAGTACCACCTGCTCAAGCAATTCTTTTGCCTCAGCCTGACAAGTAGCTGGGACTACAAGCATCTACAACACCTGGCAGTTTTTTAGAGCGAGGTCTCACTCTGGCTCTGGCTGGTTTTGAACCTGTGAGCTCAGGCAATCCACCTGCCTTGGCCTCCCAGAGTCCTAGGATGTCTTTTCACTTTCTCGATGTGGTCTTTGAAGCACGAGAGTTTTATCTTTTTGAGGCGAGGTCTTGCTTTATTGCTCAGACTGTAGGGCAGTGGCACCATCACAGGTTACTACAGTCTTCAACACCCGAAATGAACTGATCTTCCTGCCTTGGCCTCCCCAGTAGGTAGGACTATAGGCACATGCCATCACACTCACCTAATTTTTTAATTTTTGTAGAGTCAGGGGTCTTTCCTGGTTTTGAACTCCTGGGCTTAAGCAATCCTCTCACCTCAGCCTCTCAAGTAGGTGAGGTTTTAGGCGCCTGCACAAAAGTTTAAGCTTCATTTCGAAGCCTTCTTTCTTTTTAAAACATATTAATCTTCAGAGGTAGCTACAGCAGAAATAAAGAAAAAAAAATACCTATGGGGCCATGGAAGTTCTCATTTTCTTTGATTCAGTGTTTTTAGTCCTGGAAGCTCCAAGGAAATAATAAGGGAAAGAAAAATGCCGTTTGTATAAAAATGTGTATGCTAACATCGCTCTTGTGAGCTCAAGCAATCCACCTGCCTTGGCCTCCCAGAGCGCTGGGATTACAGGTGTGAGCCTCTGTGCCTGGCCTGTGTGCAAGTTTTTTTGAGGACATAAGTTTATCAGGTCATATGGTAACTCTATATTTAATACTTTTAGGAGCTGCTAAATTGTTTTCCAAAATTCCCACATCATTTTACAGTACCGCTAGCAATGTTCTCAGGGTCCCAATTTCTCCACATCCTTGACAACACTTGCTACTGTCTGTATTTCTGATTATAGGCATCCTGGTGGAGTTGAAGTTATCATTGTAGTTTTGATTTGAATTTCTCTGACTAATAATATATTTTCCTATGCTTGTTGATTGATCATTTGTAAATCTTTGGAGTGATATATATTCATATCTTTTGCCCATTTCTATAAATTTGGTTTATTTTATCTTTTTATTTTGTTGAGACAGAGTCTCACTTTGTTGCCCCTGGTAGAGTACTGTGGTGTCACAGCTCACAGCAGCCTCAAACTCTTGGACTTAAGCAGTTCTCTTGCCTTAGTCTCCTAAGTAGCTGGGACTATAGGT